AAAACAAACGAAGTGTCACAATAGATTTGAAAAGGTCGCGGTGTACAAGGACAAATAACGCCCAACTCCCAATCTAATCTAAATTCTATTGAAATTAACTTTTTGCTGCATTTTAGGTGATTGTAATAAACGTTTGCTTAATTTTCGTATTCCCTATTTTATTACCTATTTCTGTTTTGGAAAAAATATAGCATATACGGCGATTGAGTCTATAGGCAGCACATTTTTAAATCCACCCATACTCATTCCTTTAACATTCCTGGCGATCATTATAAAGTTAAAATCCTGTATGGATGTAGGTCAGTAAAGTTGGCACCCCAATGATATTTTGGAAAAAAATATATTGTACTTAAATGCACTAGTAATGCATCAATGTAGTCCACTAATTATTTTTTTAAACCACTTTCCCTAAGGAACTACAGCTATTTTAATGTGGGCTGCCCTTCTCGCCGGTAACTTTTTTATGATTTACTGCAATGCACGAGTTAGCTTTTGTAATGAACCCATATGCATTATTAATAAAACTTTTTGCACCCCCTTCCTTAAGTAGTTATAGCCGTTTCTTTAACGTGAAGTTAGCCCCCCAATAAAGTATCCACAAAAAAATTACAATCCTGATGCACTCATATGCACCACCAATAAAACTTTTTGCATCCCCACACTTCAGTAATTACAGCAATTTATTTACCGTCAAGTTAACACTCCCAATAAAGCTCTCGCAATAAAACACTATTGCACCGGTATGCACTTCTGATGCACTTATATGCACCAGCTTTAAAATGTTTTGCTCCCCTTCCTTTAGTAGTTATAGCTGTTTTTTTTTACCGTGAAGTTGACCTCACTAAATATTTTTGCCAAAAAATATTGCACCAGTATGCACACCTAATACACTCATATGCACCATCAATAAAAACTTTTTGCACTCCCTCCCTTCAGTAGTTACAGGAATTTCTTTAAAGTGAAGCTAGTCCGTAATGATTTTGAAAAAAAAATATTGCACCGATATGCACCCCTGTTAAACTACCAATAAAACTTTTTGCACCTTTACTAGTTACAGCCGTTTCTTTACCGTGAAGTTAATCTCTCTTAATGATATTTGACCAAAAAAATATTGCACTGATATGTATATTATTATATACTTAATACTCATTTTTAGTCCTAAATAAATTTTGCGAAAAATTCATTGGGGGGCTAACTTCTTGGTAAAGAAATTGCTGTAACTACTGAAGGGAGGAGGAGGAGTGCATACCGGTGCAATATTTTTTTGCGAAAATATAGGATGGGGCTAACTTCACGATAAAGAAACAGCTATAACTACTAAAGTGGGGAGTAAATAAAAGTTTTATTAGTGGTGCATATGAGTGCATCAGAAGTGCATACCAATGTAATAGCTATTTTGCGAATACTTCATTGGGAGGCTTACTTTACGGTAATGCAATTGCTGTAACTACTGAAGGGAGGGGGTGCAAGCAAAAAGTTTTTTGGTGGCTATATGAGTGCATCAGGACAAAACGTTATTGAAGAACGTCAAACTTTACGGTAAGGAAACAGTTATAACTACTAGAGAGAGGGGGTGTAAAAAGTTTTATTAGTGGCGCATATGAGTGCATTACAAGGGCTAACTGATGTACAACAGTAAACCATAACATTTTTACTGGGCAGGTGGGAGTTAAGGGGTGGGAGTTTGGAGGTGGCAGCGTTCATTCTCCATCCCCCTACATAGAAATAGCTGTAGTTTCTCAAGGAAGGTGGTACAAAAAAAATAATTAATAGTGCACATTGGTGCATCACTAGTGCAATAGTTTATTTTTGAAAAATATCATTTCGGAGCCCAACTTCACCGACCTTATGAACTTTTTAATTAAGAAAAATTGTGAACGTCAATCTGTACAAAAATAGAATCCGGTTCTGAATATAAATAATACCTTCTCACGTTCTTCTCATATTACCTCTAGGTATAACATAAATGAAGTCATCCGGTTCGAGGCGAAAGTCTCTCCAATGCACCGCAGATTTCTATTTCTAATAGTATTAAGTTCATTTCATGTTTGTTATTTCAATTTCAATGTAGTCGTTTTCATTTTATTTTTAATTTTTTGTAGCTATTTATACACAAAAGAATATTACATTACTGCGTAACGATCGAGTTTTATTACAGTGGATTATATCATTATTATAATATTAAACAGTAGTAATGCCAGCAGAAGTGACGTACACTTAATATCAATAAAAATAACCGTATTTATATGTTTTGTACATTTTTTGTGCAATGAAGTCTCTCATCTGACTGTAAAAAGTGGCACGTCGTGTTTTTTGCTTGTTATTTGTAGTTGGTTAAAGGGTAGGGGCGTGAACAATATGTACTAAGTCCCGGTGGTGGGAGTTGTTGTGTGACCTGTCAAATTCAAAGTAAAGTTGCTATAGACGTATTTTTCGTTTTTTGCTGACAATATATTCTTCTAGACGTCTATATTAATAAAAAAAAATTGATTTGCAAGCATTTTCTGTTGTCTAGATATGGGACTATATCGACACACTACCCCTATTCTAGGAAATATATCAGCAACTATACATATTGGCAATACCTCAATAAAATATTTATTTCTGGTGGCCGGTATTAAGGACTAGTGTATCTTTAATATGGATATTATTCAAAATAAGTTTATTATCCACCTTCAGGATAAGATTTTGACAATTCGGAACGAGGTAATTGTCCTAAATTCGGAGAAAAAGATTCAGCCGATTAAGGTCCTAGTAGAAGAAGATATAGAAGTACCCCAAAATGTATAATATGATACTTGTTATTTTATCTATTTTTTATTGTGTTTTAAGTTCAAATGATATTGGGAGTGGGTTAGGTTATTAATTTACTTTGAACATGAAGTTGGGCACCACTATATTTAAGACTTACTATACTTGACTATCGGTTAATGATAAAAATATAGAAAATCACTAACCATTAAGATATTATATTTAAACCAAGTTTTAGATAAGGCAGTAACAAATTCTTATTCACAGAGATTTACTAATTCAAATTTAGATGGTTTATTGCATAAAAATAGACTTATCTGTTATAACAGGAGGTAGTATAAAGGAGAGATTTGCATAGGCCTTCTTCAAAGGGACTCGAACGATACTCTTCGGGTAGCACCAAACTCTTAGGTATTCTCATAAACTTTTTTAGATGTAACTCAAACTAAACCTCTTGATATAATTTGAAATAATCTTCTTGATAGAAATCCCATAAACAGTTTTAGATATATCTTGAATTAAACTTCTTAGAGATGACTCGAAATGAACTTCTTTAGATATAACTCGAACAGAACCGTCTAGATATAGCCAGGCTACAAGGAAAAGGTAACAATATTAAGAAAGGAACTAGGAAATTTGCATAGCAACCAGATAAAATGCCTTTAACTTATAATTGAACAATTTAAACTATTAAAAAGGAAAAATCTTATTTAACATATTCAAAAATAGTAAAGCATAATATCCATTCCAAACAAAATAATATTAAAATTATACAAAACGTGTTATCCATGTGTTATTCGTGTGTTGAGGTTATGTACAATATTTGACATTTTAATTAAGAAATCCTTGTAGAAAATATATATAAATATATAACAATATATCGGTATTCAAACTTACCTTATAAAATCAGACGAAATATACGATAGATGAAATTTATTTAGTACATCGGATGACCCAGATAATTTAAAATTTAGATCAACTTATTCGTTGACAGATACAAATCAAAATGAAATAGGAACTTTTGACGCAAGGCATACACGGCAAATGACATTTGTGTAGAGATGTTGGTGTCAAAATAACGAAAACGATTCCAACCGCTACAAATTCTGAAGCTGTCATCTCGGCGACAAATCCCACTGCTTGCACGTGGGTACTGTGAAAAGTAATGAATTTGTAAGTAAATGAATTCTGGTTGCTAGATGTCTCGTTAATGTAGATCATCTGATTCCAGTAAGGGTATAATGTCTTAAAATACCAAGTGTGACATTTTCGACAATGGAAAATCTACGGGGCGTACCAGTCTTGTCCAGCATAAAATTTATATAGGCAAGCTAAAGCTAATAAGGCAAGTACCTATATAGAAGACGACCATTTGCTAAACAGAAAGAAGTAGCATATATGATAGAGGACATAAATGGATGCAAATTTTATCTTTTCTCTGTAGACTACACGATATTAAATCAGATTACGCAAAAAGACAGCTACCTACCCACATTCGCGAATGGACGACACACTCATCCCTCTGTCAGGTGCAAAATGGTTTTTCACTCTGAACTTAAAGTGTAAATACTGGTAAGTAGAAGTAGACAAAGCAGCTTTTTTAACTGGCAGCGGATTATACTGATTTCAGGGTCTGCCGTTTGGTCTCTGTAATGCCTCAGCTACATTTTAAGGACTGAAGGAATTGTTTTGAGAGGATTAAGCTGGAAAATTTGTCTACCTGAGTGATATAATGGCCATGTCAAAATTGAAAGTATTAATGAACACAGCAATCAAATTGGTAAAAGACCCTGCAGTAGCGTACAGGCCAAGATTTTAACAAATTTACCTAGTGTCTTTCGTGAATTCGTTCATATTTTACTGATTCTTAAACAATGGCAACAGCAATCGCAAGCGTGTTAGCAAATTATGAATCCTGAGGTTTCCAGTTAGTTCAATTAAACTTATTTTACATTATTTTGGTATATTTTTGCGTTTTATTCTACTGGTACTTTCATTTTATGCATGCACGGTCAACGTTTCACACATAACTAAAACAATTACACTGTCCTATTCACTAAATTTTTAAGATAAATGTACTGGGTGACTATAAAATGATAATAATTTTTTCGAACAGATCGCAATGTAACATTTGATATTACGGATGATAAATTTACTGTGTGAAGCAAACTATAGGAGTGCGGGCTATAAACTCCAAATTCAATTATTGGAAATCAATTAATATAGAAAAGTAAAAAGAAAGAATCAAAAACTATTTATAATTCATTTATTTCTATTTGCCAATCAAATGCACACAGCACTCATTCCAAAAATATATAAAACATATATTGGAATGAACATATTGATTATTAACACGTTAAGGGCCACCATGCAATCAGAATTTCTGGTCCCATTGACCAACTTTTTTTTATGAATATTCCTACTGCTATACTCGGAAACAACACATGTGCAGCGTGGCCCGAAGATTTAAATTGGGTGTGGCACGCGCATTACACCGCGTGGCTCTTAAGGTGTTAAGTAACAACGATAAACGGGATATTTGATCAGAAGAATGTCTGGCCAATCTCACCAATCCGACCAATAAACAGCAAAAAGTGTAGGGAATAAGAAAATTGAAAACTACAAATAATTTTGGTAAAACTGCTGTTAAATAATATTTCAAGTATGTGTAGTTTCAATATTGTTCTGTTCCGTATTCACTTTTTGCTAATAACAAATATTTTTTAGTAATATAACAGTCGGGTAACTTTTCCAAATAAAATTACATTATGAATTTAAAAACATTTGCCTATTAGTAAACAATTTAACAAATACAATAAAAATATTCAAAAAAGTCCATAACACTCATATAAAACTTTTTCATGGATATAAATAATATAATATCTACTAAAGGAATATTGTAGAAAAATACTGCAAAAGGGGAAGAAAACTGACTTACCCAAAAGTGAAAAAGTTTATTTTACAATTTAATGGCCTTTATATAATATGCATCAGTTATTTTTAATCAAAATAATTTTATAAATACAATATTGAAAAAATCTACAAATATTTCAATATTTCAGAAAGAAATATTGATAGCAAGCTATATTTAATTAAAATTACTTTTGATTTATAAATAAATATTAAGTAAACAAAAAGTGGTTAACCTCCTTTCCACAAAAAGAAACTATTTTCTACAATTTATTTATTTTTGATATAGTTCTGTGGTGACCACAATTTGTGATCACCAGGCATCACAAAATACGTAGTATGTATAATTAAGATATTTAAAAAATATTCTATTATTTTAACAATAAATATCTGATAGCATTCATCTCTTTGAGACTAACCCTGTACAAATATTATCAAATACAGAATGGTCCATGTATTTTTCAGAATATCTTAAAAATCACTGGTGATAAATAAATTAAACAAATTTTTCTATCTGGTCTTAGTTATTCATATTCTAATATACTGTAAACTGAATTTCAATTAATAAATTTTTTTTTAAATAAAAAATAATAAAAACTTAAATATGATTTTGTAATACCTTTAAAGTATATCATTATTAGATTTAGTTTAAAATCATTTTCGAATCGAATATACACGCATAGGAAATGAAGATTGTGTACTACACATCATAGAAATTCTTATGAAATGTAAATGAATCAGTTTTATTAAACAAGATATGGACACTTAAACATCATCAGTGAACAGTGAAGAAAAAATTAACCAACTCACTATCGAAGACATTCCGTACACTTGGACCACCGTGTATAATTATTAGATACATAACAAAACAAGAAATAAATATAAAATTTATTAAATCTAATGAGCTTTCACTTTATTCGTCGTGGTAATCGCATGACCGTTCGTTTTTGTCCCGAGTGGTTCAACAGCAGTAACGCCTTTCGCATTTTTGGAGTTGTAGGCTTTCCTGTAGAAGTCACTGAAGAGGTACAGGAAGATTACTACATTACCGACGAAGAAGAATGTCAAAGCTTTGGGGAGCTTGCAGTCTATGGCGATTATGAAGACTAGGTAGGCCAACATGATGCAAAATTGGGTCTAGAAAAAAATATACATTAGAAATTAGCTGTTTATAACTTTTAAATTTTAATTCTCATAAATTTAAAGTAGTGATGGAAAAGAAATAACCGTATCTAATCGATACCTAGCTCCTTGTGGGACAGCTACTGGAATTGCATCCATTAAATCAGAGGTGTCTACTCAGACTACTTAACTTGTTATTATTTATACATCCTATTATACAGGGTGTTAAAAAAAAAGTGTCACAAAATGGAATGGTGAATAGTATGACCCAAAATAAGCAGAAAAGTCTTAATAAATATATGACCGCAAATTAACGGTTTCGGAGATACGGACCATTTTGTGTTTATAACAATTTTTTATTATTATAAAAAAACAATGATATTTATAAACAATCAATAACAACATAGAGTTAAATGAGATGTTCAAATACTGACGTAGCGCTTCCCTCGCATTGCCATTTGCACGACCGTACATAAAATGCATGTCAGCTAATTCAATATTAGTGTAAACAGGCATAACGAAAATTTATAAAATTATTCACCCACAACAAAATAATAACTGCAAATAGTATCTATAAAAAAACATCGGTAGACTCCGATAAGAAAAGCAAGTTTTTGAGAATGAAAAAAGATAATCAAAAAGTGATACAAAACACAAAACACTACGTATCTCTGAAACCATTCATTTGCGGACATATGTTTATTAAAACTTTTCTGCATATTTTGGCCCATACTACCCCCCGTTTTATTTTGTGACACTTTTTTTTAACACCCTGTATATTTGTCAAAGTTATGTTCATTGTCACGTTAATGTCAAGGGCATTTCTAGTTTAATAAAGCCTAGTTTTTCAATGGTTCTCATTTCAAGTAGGTAACCAAATTATGTTAAAATTTCAGGTCATGTTTACGTCATATTATTATTTGTTTGGAATAAGATTTATTGCTCACATTTTGATGACATTTAAATAACTTATGAAACTTTACGTACATTTAATGTTTCCAAATTATGAAAAAATTGTACGCTACGTTTACGTCAAACTTTTGCTGCCAACACATTTTCTTGATTCGGTCATCACAGACGTGACAGACTAAGTAGAGAAAAAATACAATCTATCTGTCAATGATTGGCAAACTGCCAAACACATTGTAGACGATAAAAAAATTAGATTGGCAATATCCAGTGTCTAAAAAGACTTACACCACACCTGGTGGATATATTCAGATCCTCGTTGGCTCTGAGGTATATACCCAAAAAATGGAGAGAGGTAAAAGTGATATGTATGCCCAAACCTGGAAGGATGGATTACATACCGACCAATTAGTCTGACATCGTTTTCCACGAAGACATTGGAAAGGCTAAGCGAAAGGTACATAAGGGATGCGGTGATTACAACAACACCACTACACCCAAACCAACATGCATACACCCCAGGCAGATCTACTAAATGAGCCCTTCATCTAGTTGCTGGCCGGATAGAAAGATCCCTGGACAATAAGGAGTCCTCCTTGGGTGTTTTTATAGACATATAGAAGGTTCTTTTGATAAAACCACTAGTCCAAAGATAATACACTCACTATCCAACAGGAATGTTCCACAAATGGTTAGTCGGTGGATACATAACATGCTCTCAAAGCGAGCAGTAAACATATGTAGAAGATGTGAATATAAGAGGCTTGGTTGCGAAAAAATGTCCACAGAAAGGGATGCTATCACCTCTACTGTGGAATATGGTCCGCTATATCATCAGCAGCCTCAATAATGACAGTCACTACACAATAGCATATGTGTAACAAGGAATTTTGAGAACATACTCTGCGAAAGAATTATAGAACAGTGTCTATCAATCCTAAGAAGACAGAAATGGTCCTTTTTACAAGAAAAAGGATGCAAATGGAATTAAAACCTCCAGAAATCCTAAACACATAACTAAAATTTGCAACAGAGGTGAAGTACCTAGCAAGTTAACATGGAACTCGCATTTAGAAAACAGAGTTAGAAGAGCATACATTGCTTATGAACAATGCCGCCAAACCATGGGGCGCACCTGGGGTTTCTCCTCCAGAGTCATCGCATGGACTATCATAAGACCTATGCTAACATACGGTGCAGTTGTCTGGGTATTGAAAACCCAAAAATTAACAGCTATCTGTAAACTAAAACAAATTCAAAGAACAGCATGTCTCAACATAACAGGAGCCACATAAAGTTATAAGAGAACAAATAGAAGAGCCGAAAACAAGGCCCAGGATGTAAAATATACTCCAGATTCTTAAACCTAAACATAAAATGGGCTGTGAGCAATAGTACCAGTGTAGTTCAAATAGAGCTAACAGGGATTCTCATAGCAGCAAAAGAAATCACCAGAAACAATATCACTGGAAAAAGCATGCTCATCTATACAGATAGAAAACACTACTCACCCTGAATAGACCATGAATTTACTCAGGGTTAGTACTAGAATGTCGCGAAGCTTTGGCCGAAGTATTAATCAATAATGTGGTCACCTTTAAATGAATCAAAGGCCACGCCACATCGAAAGGTAACTGTCTTGTTGATTCACTAGCCAAGAAAGCAGCCAACCAAATACTTTTTGGACCTTGCCCTTCTATTCGCCTGACAAAATCGGTAGTGACAGACCTAATTAAAGAACATTCCATTGTTAAATTCAAGGAAACATGGGATGAAACAAGGAACTGCAGAGTTGCCAGGGAGCTCTTAAGAAGATTTGTGTTCGGCGAGTATCAGCTTACACCGGGCGATATAAGAGAAGCACATTTTGACGACGTTGTCAACTACATTAAATCTGTAGGCTGGCTCACAAGCTAGGAGGTGCCAATCATCTTAGAAGGATGTAAAATGGGCCTAGTGATACCTAAGTGCCGTGGGGGTAACCCACCCTCCACACGTTACATATACGGAGATAGGTGTCACCAATACTGATTGAGACTAAAAGGTCTTCCTCTTGTTCCATTTCCATTCAGTATTGGTGACACCTACTTATTACTTTTGAAAGTAATGAATAGGGTATGAGCAAAAATTAAAGATATGTCTAATATGGTATATTAATAAAAGAAGTACCTATACTCTTTACAGAATAATTTTAAGGATTTCTTTAAAATAGCTGCTTTTTCCTAAAATTTTTTGATTAAATTTGGTCATTTTTATGAGTGTATACAAAAACACTTAATTTTTTCGTATAGCTATAAAATTATTGCTAAGTTTTTGAATGTTTCGGCATTATTGCTACTAGTTAAATATTGTAATCGAAGCTCATCCTACTTTGAATTACAATACATTCGAGATACGCCACTGATATCCTTAATCGGTGTTAATTAAATAGGTGTGATGATTTATATAATTAAATTAATACGTACCAGTTGAATCCAGGTCATGTATTTCTTCCACCACAAGTACTTCTGGTATTTTGGACCCAAAGCTGACAAGAAATAGTAAAAGTACATCACAACGTGGACTAGTGAATTTAGAAATCCAATAACTAGACCTTGTTCCCCTAAAATAATGAATAAGAAGTGAATTATGGGAGATTGGGGCAAATAAAATTTTTTGGCATAATAATTGTTTGAAGAGTACACGAAAGAAAGGCGAAATTTTACTTTTTATTATTTTCTTGCCATCACCATTTTTAGTAATAGTTTCATGTGCTGTAATCAAAAATGGTCAAAATGTGAAGCATCATCACAGCTTAAAATGAGTTTAAAAATACCCCGTTCTTAAAATAAAGGCAAGAGGTCGGCATTATTTGTTGTGTATACTTTCAGAATGACTTAAATATTAAAAAAAAAGTAAAATATGTACAAAGTCCATCAATGTTCTCATGTATCATAAGAAACATATCTATATATTTTAAGTAAGCTTTTCAACATTAGTTTCTGCTATTCCCGATTTGAGGTAAAAGTTCTTTAGAATTCATTAAATAAAACGTGTGACGTCTCTAAACAAAAAATATATAGAAGATAGGATAAACAAATTAACTGTGGAAAAACAAGTACACAAAGCTAAGGTGTTAGAGGATTGAAAAGGCAAGGAAAATATGGGAATGGAAGATACTAAGAAGAATATATGGAATCAAAAAGACAGAAGAAGGATAGGAAAGACGAACAAACACAAAATCTACAAAATGTTTAACGAACACCAAACACATGAAATAATATCGTCCAAAAGTTTACAATGGTTGGGGCACTTAGAAAGGATGGAGGACTCAAGGACAGTAAAAAGAGTAGCTTGGACCACACCGGAAGGGAAAAAAAGAGGGGAAGGCCTAGAAGAAAATGAAGGGAATAGATTATATATAATTGTCAAAAGTGTCGTTGTAGTGCTATGTTGGGCTCGAAACCCTGATCACTCGGATGTTATAATGCCAGAAACTTTTATAAATTCAGTTGGGAAATGATAGCATGTCGTCGACATTCTTCAATTGGAAAATTATATTCCAGGTAATTTTCCCCTTAAAATCGTTGGCAACGATGTTTGAAAAATGTATGTAAGTAATAAAATGATTGTTTATATTGGGCTGAAAAGCGTCAATAATGCAAGAAATAGAATGATGATCAAAAATACGATGAATAAGAAATATATCGAAGAATGAAATTTGTGCAGGATCACTAACAATAAGGATATTTAATAAAGTAGAAAGAGAATGGGTTATTCTTGTGGGTTTGTCAACTAGTTGTGCTAACTTAAATGTGTTTAGAAAATAATTAAAAAACTGAGGCGGTTATCTTGTGTGAGACAGTCAATGTTGAGATCCTCTGCAACAATAAAAAGGTCATTAGCCGGATAGAAGTTAGAGACTATGGCTTCTAGTTCATGTAAACCAGCTTTAGCCAAAAATATATTATTTACTATAAAATACAACGTAGGTCCGGTTAAGGATTTAAGGAATTTTCTCCTTCGTAACTATGTTAGTGAGTTCTTCTAGGGTATATGAGTTATCGTTGACCAGAAGCTTGCTCCCCTTCAAAGAACTGTTTCTGCTTTAGCCTTAAGGTCTTTTGGATGCTGCAGCAATTGCTTTCTTTCAGTTTGCTCCAGTTTAGACAGCTCCGAACCAATAAAATATTACTTGCTTTTAAAAGTTTCACTTTTCTAAGCACCTCTCTGTTTTGAAACAGATACAATATCAACTTTATATCGACTACGGTAGCGTAGATCTCTACGGCACCGCGTTCATTTGCGAGCCAATTTTGTGATAAAACAGATGCGGTTTTCGAATCCTACAGAAGACCATGTAAATTTATTTGCATGGTTCTCTATAGGATTTGATGGATGTCGTATTAGCAGAAATTTAATTTCTGTTGATATATCCAGATTATAAAAATCACCATGCGTTACCGTTTTCGATGATGGTGGGTGAGGTTTTCCGGATATGCAAATATCACAAGATGTTGCAGGATCACTAGGAAGGTAATTGACACCTTCAGCAGCTCTATTTCTTAGAAGATACAAACTTGCGTTGTTGATATGCCCTAATCGTTGGTGCCATAACATTCAGTTCTTCTTTATGTTTGACTGATATGCAATAGTAAAAGAAAATGATATTACATTTTGAGTAACTATAGCGACATATCTCAGGGGTGGTTCCATATAAATTTGGTCAAAATCTAAAAATTGGGTCCATACAAAATCCTCAAACTCTTCATTTTTTATATATGTTTAGCGATAATTCTTTACCACCTTGTCCGATTTCTATGATTCTTTTTTGTTAGTAAGGGGGTGCCTCAGGGGTGGTCCCATACAAATTTGGTCAAAATTATTTAATTGGGTCCATGAAAAATCCTCAAACTCTTAATTTTTTATGTATATTTTAAGATAATTCTTTACCACCTTGTCCGGTTTCTATGATTCTCTTTTTGTTTTAAGGGGGTACCTCAGGAGTGGTCCCATATAAATTTGGTTAAGATGTGGTGATGGCATCTACTCGATTTTAAAGTCAATTTTTAAAATTACTTTCGTGAGAATTTTGGTCTATAGACGATTTTATATATCTGTTTTAATAGACACAAAATGTCAACCTTTAAATCTCTTCTAAAAATATTTGCCTCTTTACCGTTTTCTTCTTTGATAAATTCCTTTAATTGTGTTAATATATCTCTTTGTTATTCAGGCATATTTTACAAATTTAACATTACCGTCTGCTGCAGTATCAGTATAAAATATGGTGCCAAAAAAATTGATTAGAATATTTGGAAATAACGATCGGTCGACCAAGTTATTGCCATTTAAAGTTCAAAATATACTTTTTAACGTAGTAATAATAATAATAATAATAATAATATGCACAGATATGCGTTTACGTTGTAAATAATATGGTTCGCTCAGCTTAATTTGTTTTAGTTCAAAACACTGTTATTCTCAATTTACAATTTATATGAGTGAAAATAAATGGCTACTGTTTCTGATTTGAAAGCATTTTAAGAGGCATATAAAGTGTTTAATTTCGTTTTCTCGAAAACCGTTTAAATTATTAGGTTCACATTTTCACATTTTCTAACCGAAATTACTAAAAAAATTCATCAAAAAACAGGTACATATTTTAAATTTAACAACGTTTTTTCAGAGCAACATTTTAGGAAGGCATATTTTTGGTCCAATCGTCATAATAATTATTATGACTCACTCTATATAAGATTAAATTTTTCATGACTTCTATCTTCCCTACCTACTAAGTAATTAATAGTTACATAAACATTAGAAGGCTTGAACATTTCTAATTATCATTTACATGGGATGTAAATTATTGAAAAAAGAAAGTTTAAGCTTCTTATAGCATAATTTTTAATAACATATCTATAAAGTAAAATTATTGCAGATTATATTTTTTAGGCAACACTAACTAGAACGGTATAACAGCAAATTTCTAAATAGTTTTATTCTAAATTTCTATGGTTAATTTTAAAGAGCGTGAAAAGGAATATGTTTTATTAAAATATGTGTTGCAACATTTATGATATTTAGTAAAAAAATGTACAATTCTATAATTACTGATTATATTTGTTATTAAAAACTTACCAGGTAAAAATTTCAAATATCCCCATGAAAAGAACATTGTTATCGCATGATGATACACGTGTAAAAATGTAACTTGCGACTGCTTTTTCCTAAGTACGAAGAACACAGTGTCCAATAGTTCAACTATTTTTGAGAAGAAGTACCACCAAGCTGAATTGTATACCTGAAAATTATAGAAAAACATTGTATTATTATATATTTTTTTAAAAATTAAGCAAGAATAAGATAAATCCAAAAAACAAGACGGTATTGAAACTATAATAAGGAAAATAAAAATTTGTAAGAATTGGAAGCACAACTATCGACAAATTGAATAACAAATTATGAGGAAACTGGATCATGTGAATGATAATTATCAGTAATTAATCTAGCGGAAAAAAAAAATAATATAAAAAGTATTTAAATCAGTTTAGAAAATGAATCAATGTTGTGCTTATTACACTTTCCATTAGCGTAAACAAATAATGGAAACAAAACAAAAATAACCAATGAAGTTTTAAAAATAATAATAATGAAAATAAAATGAAGTATTACATAGAATAATTCCTGCAAATGAAACTACATCTTAGTAATATTTTTTTAAATAAACAACACCAACAAGAATTTTGTCATGTGTTTATTTCACTAAATTGATATTTATATTGAAAAGAAAATTGCAATTTAAGTAAAATTTCAGAGCATTCGATGGATCTATCATATTAAATTAGCCTAGTATATTCAATATCACCAAAACTACATTTTTGGAAGTAAAACGGCGATCTCTTACTCAAAACAAAAATTTATAAAACTCTGGAATACAACTGGAGGCTTACCCACATATAGAAAAAATCAAACGCTAAACTGTGGTATAAATGCACAGCACACTGCGATTTTAGTAGACATCTAAAATTTCTTAGACGAAATATCTGAATGATGGTCTAACTAGTATGGGCATAATAAACTTAAAGCTTAATTTTCAAGAATAAAGTGAAATCCACCCATTACCTTATACAATTTTATTGTATGACACATCATATACAGGGTATCCCAGCTTTTATTAGACAGGCTGTATTTTTTATAATAATTATCAGAATTAAATGAAATTTAAACGGGTTCTACAATGACATGTTTGCTATCTAATGAGCGTATTTTCGAATATCAAGAACTTCCGGTCATACCGAAAGTGACCATGAATTTTGTTATTTCAAATAGGTCATACTGTATATTTCAACAATTCTGAATGTTCTAATCAATTCTACACATTTTTCATGTACCTATCTCTAACCGTTTCTGATATTTTGGAGGTTACATTTATTAAGTATCTTGACTGAAAATTTAATAAATTTTACGGACATTTTATAACAAAAAAATCTAACATTAGAAATTATATGAACATTTGAAGAGCCTTCTTTCTGTCTCCAGAAAATCCTGAAACTTCTTTAGTAGTTTCCTCGTTACACATTGTGTTTATGTATGTTTTGTGCTACCCATCTAGATATATCTAGTGGGCTTTGTTTCGTCAAACTTTCGATGTCATTTTGCAGCGCTGTTGACAACTAATTGGTTATTTTTAGTGGTAACGACTCAAACTACAATGCCTCTTACTTTCACACCCAATGAATGTGTTGATATGTTACTTTTATACGGTGAGTGTCAAAAAAATGGGCGTCATGTAAAAAGAGTGTATCAACAATGGTTTCCCGATCGTAGGACACTTTTTCCTTTGATTGAGTCAAAAATGCAAACTGTTTCTTTTCCGAATTCGATAAAACATTTCCATCATGAGGCACCTGCAAGAAATGAAGAAATTTCGATAAACGTATTGGCTTATGCAAATGTTAATTCAAAATTTTCCATTAGAGAAATTAATTTAGAAATGGGAATTAGCAAAAGTACTGTACACAGGATCCTCAAAACAGAAAAATACCATCCCTATAAAATATTTCTTGTTCAAGCACTTCGTCCCACCGACTACGAGCGAAGGTCGGTGGTGTAGCGGTCTAACGCGCTTATATTCATTTATAAGCAAGTTTATGTGTAGAGACTGCTGGGCTTCGAATCCAAGCCCAGACCATGTGGATTTTTAATTAAATTGCATGGTTCGGTATAAGATTTGATGTGTGCCGTATTAATAGAAATTCAACTTCTGTTGATATGACATGCAGATTATAAAAAATCGCCATACATTACCGTCTCGATGATGGTGGGTGAGGTTTTCCGGGTTTTTCTCACCTGTAAGTCAAATGGCACCATCAATCATCTTAAAGTCGCCCCGGAGCGCCACGGCAAATAATAATAATAGCCGTCCCTTTCCCCGCACAAGCTCAGCTTTTGGGGTTAAAATTCACTCGTAAGGGGGTGAATTAGGGAGAGTATTATTATTATTATTATTATTATTATTATTAGTATATTTCTTGTGCAAGTTATCCTTTTTGAGGATCCTACGTTTTTGGAGAAAATCTTATGAAGTGATGCATCAATGTTTTCCAACAATGGAATGGTAAATCGCCACAATTGTTACTACTGGTCAGTAGAAAATCCACATTGGGTCAAAGAAACTCGTTTCCAAACAGTGTGGGGCATCAATGTTTGGTGCGGGCTATTTAACGGGCGTCTAATAGGTCCCTATTTTTTTGATGGCACGTTAAATGAGATAAGGTATTTACATTTTCTTCAAAACTCTCTTCCCCGGCTGTTAGAAGACATTCCGCTTAGCGACCACGCAACCATGTTCTGGCAACAGGACGGTGCCCCACCACACAATAATAGAATGGTCACAAATTACCTGGATAGAAGATTTCCTAATAAATGGATTGGAAAAAAGGGACCTATAAGGTGGCCGGCGCGTTCCCCTGATTTGACTTCTTTAGATTTTTTTATGGGGCCTATCTCAAAAACATGGTCTATACAACCCAACCAACTGATTTAAATAATTTTAAAAATAAAATAAGAAAAGCATGCCATAGTATTACTTTCGAGATGATAAGAGCATTGTGTACAAAGGAACTCCTAAAACGATTTCAAGCTTGTGTTGAAGAGGACGGAAGACAGTTCGAACATTTATTATAATAATTATGTATTCTCTTTTTAAAACAATGAATAAACTGTACTATTTTTACATTTTATTTTCGAACAAGAATCATGAGTTAGTGTAACCACCAAATTATCAGAAACTGTTAGAGATAGGTATAGGACATATTATATGAAAAATGTGTAGAGAATTCAGAATTGTTAAAATATATAGTGTGTTATATTTGAAATATAAAAATTTATGGTAACTTCCGGTATGACTGGTGTAAGACAAATATGTTACACCTAAATGCTCAAAAATGTAAGATAGTTACTTACTCTAGGAAAAGAGAAAATATTCAATTCTTATATTCAGTTGGAGATAATGAGTTGGAGAGATGTTCTACTATTAGGGACTTAGGTGTAATTTTTGATGCTACATTAACCTTCTCAAATTATATTCAAGTCAAAGTTTCCGAAGCTTTTAGAATGTATGGATTCATTATTAGAAACTGCAGGCAATTTTCAAATATAGCACCCCTTAAATTATTATTTAGTACCCACGTGCGTTCTAAGCTGGAATATTGTAGTCTGATCTGGAACCCTTATTACAACTGCTACGTTCTGGATATAGAACGGGTTCAAAGAAAATTTTTAAAATACCTAGTTTTCAAAATTGATGGAGTATATCCCGAACGTGATTGTGATTATGCGGAGTTGTGTAACCAATTTGATATTAATAGCCTGAGCCTGAGAAGGAACACATCCTCGCTTATTTTTCTATTTAAACTCATACACAATTTTATTGATTATAGCGATATTTTGTCACAAATTAAATTTAATATAAATTCCAGAACCAACAAGCTATTCGAATGCCCTAGGGCAAAAACCAACTTGATGTTAAAATCACCCTTATATGTAATGTATAACAATTACAATAAAATTAGACGTCATTGCGATATTTTTCATTGTTCTTTTGGTGAACTACTTAAAAATGCAAATACTTTCCTTAATGAAATATTGTAATAAGTATATTGTATTATATTGCAATCTCCTTGTGTTATTTTGTAAGAATTTTTTTTTAAGTTTTCTTTAATATTTACTTGGCTTTTTCTCAATATTTATTTGTTTTCTATTATAGTTTTTATTTTGCAACTTTTAATTGATTTTCGTGTAAATATATGTTACATCACAACTTATAAGTAGAATTTACTTTTGTAATTTATTAATTTTATTTTTACATACCACTTTATTATTGTTACTTACTATTAAGAATATTGTCCTGTAAATAGAAAACTGTTGGGCAATAAAGCTATTATTATTATTATTATTATTATTATTATTATTATTATTATTATTATTATTATTATTATGACCGGAAGTTCTAGATATTGTAAAATACACTCATCAGATAGCCCACAAGTCATTATAGATCCGATCTAAATTTTATTTAAAGCTGGGACACCCTGTATATTTATCTAAATCGAAAATACAGACTATTTTAGACAAGTCTAAGATTTTCATCATCATCAATCAGCAACTTATAGATCCACTGCTGGAGAAAAGCCAATAGCTAACTGTATTTCTCATTCTTTCCTCTACTTTCGATACATCTTCTTCTTGTCCAATTATAGTATCCATTCCAGATTTGGCTCATCTCCATAAGATAGGAAAAACAAGTTAAATTTTTTACCAGTGACGCGCTATCAAGGTTAATGGTAATTTTTCCCCATATTTTTTACGCCACTGGAAAAAATATTATTTATGTTTTTATAATTTTAAATTCTAATCTAGTAAGCTTGTGTCAAATTTTTTATAGTTTTTGACAAGCTATATGTAGATCAAATTTGAAAAAAAAAATATTTAAAGATGTTTTATGGAAAATTTTAAATTTTGATATCTCGGTAACTAAGATCATTAGGATTTCATGTTCCTGTATCAAAATTCATCATTTCACGAGAGCTCTCTATGATAGAGCATTGTCGATCGAATATACTAACACCCTGTATAAAATACCATATATGTCATGGACAGTAAGTAACTATTCTTTAAACTATTCGCGAAATTGTTAGCATAATGAGGCAAAAAATTGGTATTTAAATAAAACGTACAAAAAAAAAGAAATGGAGATAAAATTTTTAAAAAGAAGTTGTAAAGTCAGAGGAATAAATTATAAAAATGAAGACTGGTAAGAGAGAGATACCTGAGAACAGAGGATAAAAGCAGCAAGACAGCGTCAGCTTTACTTATTTATAATAAATAGAATGTTATTTTTTAAAATATTAATAAACAAATTTTTTTGGACTTTGATTACAAACTGTCCAAATAAAATTTAAACCATTAATTAAATTTATATAGAAAATATATTTACTATTTCTTGTAGCTCCCTGTTGTTTGACGGATTGTTACAACTCCGAGTAAGCAGTTGTATAGGTTTCTGAACATATAAGGCTTGCGAACATAACCACAGACTAAATAGTACTTGATAAGCATTGTAAACTATCATAAGTAATTTGAGGTGAAGTGGTTTCCTGTGTTTCATAATATTTGGTCCTATTTTCAGTACGAAGATGAGGTAGGTTAGGAGTATCGCCACTACAGGTACAGGAGATTTCATAAATAGCCATGAGTCTACCATGGGATCTGAAAAAAAAAAGAAGAAATATTGTATTAAAATAAAGTAATAAGTAAACAAATGTCACACAATAGCTTTCACTGAAACCTGGCTCGCTGATTCAATCGGTAATTCTGAATTTATGAACACACACGATTTTAATATTTTTAGATCAGACAGACCATATCAAATAACCAATAACACGAGGGGTGGAGGATATTTATTGGCTGTAAGAAAAGAACTCTCGGCATTCTTTATTGACTTAGAACATACTGCAACCTTTCAGTATTTACCCTTCATCGATATAATTTCAGTGAAATTAAAGTTTATAGACTCCGATTTATTTATACTTAATATTTGTATCCCCCCTCAGGTTACTACTGATGATTTTGAACTCCTATTAGCAGGTGTCACATCATTAAATAATTTATTTAATATTAAATTATTAATTATTAGCGACTTTAATATTAAAAACCTATTCAGCAGAAGTAAATCCGCCAAGAAAGATTCAATCGTTGGTAAACTTCCAAAAATTTTACGATCTCAACCAATATAATGAAGTACTGAACGAGAATGGTCGTTTACTTGATTTAGTTTTTTCAAATATAAGCTCATGTAAAGTAGAGAAAGCCATCGACGTTCTACTTCCAACTAACAGTCACCACCCTGCCCTCACCATAGAAATACTTTTTGAACATAACAAATATATTGCTCCAATATTCTCCTGTGGTTACAATTTTAAAAAAAGCAGACTTTCCTCGATTGTATCAAAGTATATTTGAAACTAATTGGTTTTCTCTAAGTAATTGTAACAATGTGGGTGACAGTGTAAAGTTGTTATATGAAAAATTAAATAATATTTTTGAGTTACATGTTCCAAAGAAAATATCAACCAAAATACACTACCCACAGTGCTATAACGCAGATATTATCAAAACAATTAAAATTTAATATAAGCTATGGAAACAATATAAAGCCAAAAAAATGATTATAATTACGCTAAATTCGCTATTTGCAGATCTGATATTAAAGAAAAGATCCAAACGCTCTACGAAACTTTTCTAAGAGCCTCAGAGAAATTCGTACAAGATGATCCTAAATTGTTCTGGTCATTAGTGAATACAAAACGTGGAAGTTAATCTTCATGACTTATAATGACACACAGCTTAGCACACCCCAGGATATAGTAAATAGTTTCGCGGACTTTTTCTCAGCGAATTACACCGATTACACCATTACATCAATATTTATAGGACCATTCCTAATCCTATAAATATTGAAGTAGAGTCGAACAATAATAATATAATTAACATAACTTGTGTTTCCGAGGAAGAGGTATTGAATTCATTAAAAAAGTTAAAACCTAAAACGACGGCTGGAACCGTTAACATACCTGCGTATCTAATTAGAGATTGTGCACAAATTTTAACAAAACCTTTAACTGTGATTTTCAACCTTATTTAAAAAAATAGTTATTTTACAAATTGTTGTTCAATTTTTAAAAAAATTACAAGAACAACATTTCCAACTATTCGCCAATAGCAATCTTAAATAATTTCTCACAGGTATTTGAAATAGTTATCCATAATCACCTCTCTTTTAAACTCAGGCAAATAATTATTTCAAATTAGCATGGTTTTATGTCAGGAAGGTCCACTATAACCAATTTATTCTGCAGGACACAACTAATATCTGAAGCACTTGATAGAAGAAGTCAAATAGATGTAATCTATACTGATTTCTCCGAAGATTTCGACAGAATTGATCATAAACTACTGCTTATTAAATTAGAAAGCATGGGAATTCATGTATCATTGCTAGTACTTTTAAAATCTTATTTATTGAAACGTCTTCAATATGTTCAGTGCCTGGGACATAGATCACAATGTTTACCAAACTTCTGGGGTACTACAAGGATCTGTTCTTTTCATCCTATTTATTAATAATATAGTTAAAAACATCAACGTTACAAGTATTTTATATGCTGATGATCTACAAATTGAATTATGAGATTAAAACTAATGATGATTGTACTTCAGAAATACATCGATTTATTAGATCAGAGAATAAATTACCACTCAATGCCAGTAAATCTAATGTTATGTCATAAAATTTATATATATATATATATATATATATATATATATATATTGTTATGTTATCAAAACACCCTGTGTTATAAAATAATAATAAAACTAATAATAATAATAATATAATAATAATAATATAGTAATAAATAAAAATTAGTCAATAAAATTTATATTTGTGTATAATAAAGAAAAAATATATCATCCTGTACACTAAATTTAATTTGAGGGAGAAATGTCAAAGTAATTTGATAAGTCAGAGATATCCGAGGAGACGGGGATATTGATAGAAAGGTTGAAAGACATCAGACGGGAATCAATTTTTTCGTGAAAGAATATTTAAAAAAAATTACCTAAATTTAGAGCCGCAGTACATTTAAATTTGTTTAAAAAAGTTGTAATATTTAATAACAAATTTAAAATAGACAAATTGTATATCACCTCAATTGTATACTTAAAGTAAACGGGTGAAGTTATATGGGGAATCTATTATAAACTGAATAGTGAGAATGCAGACATATTAGTCAGAAGTTTTTGGATTTGAAGATGATAGAAGAAAGGACATTTTACTGTGAGTAAACAGTTTTGTTATAGTGAAAGAGCATAATAGACAATTTTGTTATCACTAATTCAATAAACTATATTTGCTTTTAAAATTGAAGATAAACCATTAGAAGATTAGAATTAAGTAAATTATTTATAATAGTTACATTTTGGAAAAGTAAAACGTCAAAATTTTTTTTAATTGTCACATTGAAATTTAGTGGTTAGTAAGTGTATATGGTGATGGATGTATGATTAGAGTAATTTAGTAAGTTAGTATATAGACAATATTGTAGATTTTTCAGAAATTTAAACGTTGTTACAAATTACTTTTAATAAATTGGAACTTGTATTTACAATTCGTCTATTAAAAAAATATTTTAAAGGATAACTCTGACGATGGTAATTAAAAGCAACATATAATTTAATTGACTAATTAATATATAAACCACATCCTTAAGCTTAACTTTTTATATAGAACATAAAGCTCAATCCATTTATTTAGATATAAAAATAAATAATTCAAGGTATCTTATTGTTAGAATTGTTGCTGTTATTATTTAATAAATAAACTAAATAAACTAAATAAACTAAATAAACTAAATAAACTAAATAAACTAAATAAACTAAATAAACTAAATAAACTAAATAAACTAAATAAACTAAATAAATTAAATAAACTAAATAAACTAAATAAACTAAATAAACTAAATAAACTAAATAAACTAAATAAACTAAATAAACTAAATAAACTAAATAAACTAAATAAACTAAATAAACTAAATAAACTAAATAAACTAAATAAACTAAATAAACTAAATAAACTAAATAAACTAAATAAACTAAATAAACTAAATAAACTAAATAAACTAAATAAACTAAATAAACTAAATAAACTAAATAAACTAAATAAACTAAATAAACTAAATAAACTAAATAAACTAAATAAACTAAATAAACTAAATAAACTAAATAAACTAAATAAACTAAATAAACTAAATAAACTAAATAAACTAAATAAACTAAATAAACTAAATAAACTAAATAAACTAAATAAACTAAATAAACTAAATAAACTAAATAAACTAAATAAACTAAATAAACTAAATAAACTAAATAAACTAAATAAACTAAATAAATTAAATAAACTAAATAAACTAAATAAACTAAATAAACTAAATAAACTAAATAAACTAAATAAACTAAATAAACTAAATAAACTAAATAAACTAAATAAACTAAATAAACTAAATAAACTAAATAAACTAAATAAACTAAATAAACTAAATAAACTAAATAAACTAAATAAACTAAATAAACTAAATAAACTAAATAAACTAAATAAACTAAATAAACTAAATAAACTAAATAAACTAAATAAACTAAATAAACTAAATAAACTAAATAAACTAAATAAACTAAATAAACTAAATAAACTAAATAAACTAAATAAACTAAATAAACTAAATAAACTAAATAAACTAAATAAACTAAATAAACTAAATAAACTAAATAAACTAAATAAACTAAATAAACTAAATAAACTAAATAAACTAAATAAACTAAATAAACTAAATAAACTAAATAAACTAAATAAACTAAATAAACTAAATAAACTAAATAAACTAAATAAACTAAATAAACTAAATAAACTAAATAAACTAAATAAACTAAATAAACTAAATAAACTAAATTAAATAATTAAATAAACTAAATAAACTAAATTAAATAATTAAATAAACTAAATAAATTAAGTTTATAAAGTATTTCATTTCTGGAACCGACACCACTGGGACAAAGAGAATCTGCTCTATAAAAAAAAATTATATTAAGAAGCTAGCCGAGGTAAGATAAGTTTATGAAATTTTTTTTGTAACTTGTGAGGTTATGAAGTGTAAGTGTATAAATCATAACAAATGGCGCCCAACGTGGGGCAAAGTGAAAGCAGTGGCGTGCTCATTAAAATATAGTGTAGTGGTATTATGCAGAGTGTAAAATATACAAGTTTTATATATAAAGTGAATAGTGTAGTATAAAATAATTTTAAATGAATTTAAGAGACGGAAAGAAAATCATGAGAAAGGAAGGGGAAGATGAAGAAGGACAAGGAGTTACAGAAGAATTGCAAGTGCAAAATATAGATGGAACCGTCAGTGAAGAGAAAGTAACAGACTCAATGGAGTCAGAAATAGAAAAAAAGGATCAAAATCCAAACACAAATAAAGGAGACAAACAAGATATTTCGGAACAAGTAGAAGAGGACAGTATGATTAACGACAAATTTGAAATGTTAATAAAATTAATGATACAAGATAAAGAAGAAAGAAAACGGGAAAGACAGAGAGATAAAGAAGAAAGGAAGCAAGATAAAGAAGAAATCAAGCAAGATATAGCAAGTG